GGGAGGGGGGGGGGGGGGGGGGGGGGGGGGAGGAGAGGAAGGACTCAACTAGAGGAGGTCTATAAGGGCAGGCATCTCCTGAAAGCAGGTGGAGGATGCAGCAAGGCCAGCATGGAGCAAGGGAGGTGGATTGTAACACAGAGGGTTTGAGGTACCAAGGGGGGATACCCTACACAGGGAGTTTATCCTGCGCTGAAGGGTGCTATTGCTGGGACAGCTTGTCCTAGGGGGTTTCTTTAGGATAAATCTGTCTGTCTTAGATAAGGGGTACTGATGCTACAGGGGCAGGGCTCAGTGTGTCCTAGGCTAGGTGCTGCTGCTTTAGGAGGGGGCACGGTATGTCCCAGACTCAGGGTGCCACTGCTATGGGGCACAGCGTGTCCAGAGATCAATTCCCTGTCTGATGTGCTGAGTCCAGCATGCAGAGGGAGAACCAGCTCCCGTGGATGTACAGGGAGGGGGGGGGGTCCCAGCAGATCCTGGACACCCCCCCCAACAGTTCCCCAACAGTAGCACCAGCTGTGGGCATCACAGCCTCCCCCACAGGAAGAGGCAAAGTCCTGGGGCACAAGAGCCCACAGGGGCCCTGGCAGGCTCAGGCTGCTTCATGGAGAGGGGCAGCCCAGGTTAAAGGCTCGACAGAGAGCTTGGCCCGATTCCCAGCTGGGGCGGGTATGCTCCTGCCAGGGGACAGCCCCCACCCTAGCACCCTCCCAGTCCTACCCAGCCTCACTGGACACCAGGGTCCCCAGCTCACGAGGGTCTCCAGGTTAGAGCCCCCGGCCCCTCCAGCTGGGGTCCCGTCAGCGCCTCCCTCTCGCTGAGTCCGCCCAGCACGAAGCGCCCGGACCCAGCCCAACGGGGAATCCTGCGCAAGGGCCCCTGGCGCGCCAATCCTGCGCAAGGGCCCCTGGCCCCCCCCTACTCTCCCTTTCCCCTCCCCGGGGTCCTCGGACGGCCCGGCTCCCTCGCCCCCCCACTAAGAGACCCCCGCCTTGGTGTCCTCGGACGCCTGGGTTCCCCGGCCTCAGTCGCGGCAGCGGCGATGACAGCAGCCGGCAGCGACTAGCTGCGCAAACTGCGTAACCTTCCCCCACGCAGGAGACAGCTCCGCCCCCCGCGCAAGCGGCGTAAGCCAAAGCGGAAGAGCCCCGACCATAGAGAAGCGAAGCCGGGGAGAGCGTCATTTCCTGCCGCCATCTTAGTTATGGGCAAATGAAGCGCACATACACTCCAGCCAGTGCCCCCACTATATCCCCCGCA